CAGAAATTGATATTTATACATTCACTCCACAGAGGATCACTTCCAGATGGTCAACATGCTGGACTGGCGGATTAATCATTATTATTAGCTGACTCAGAATTTTGGGATGACTGCAAAACGTATATAATGATCAAACATTGTAAAAATCACTGATACCTATATTTTTGAATATATCAAGCGAACCATTTATTTGAATTATACAGTTATGCTATTGAAGGTAAAGTAACTGCAAAAATTTCACTTGGTCATTGAATACTTTCGTTTTTTGCTGAATATTATAAATTATTAATTGAACCATACACATAAAACAAAAATATATTGCCATAGAATTGGGGAAATTTCTCTAATGTTGGCCTATGGATCTAATATTAGGCTAAAAAGCTGTTATTTATCATTTTTTATCTAGATGAACGCATCATTGGGACGGTACTAATGGATATTTTTGGTCACTATTTAAAATTTAGTCGATTGCTAAATTTATATATGGGCCCAAATTAGGGGAATTTAGGCCGACATTACATCCATTTCCCCTAGTAAAACATTGTTAACGAATGCTTCCTTTGGTTAGTTGTTATTATGCCCAAAATATTCTGCGAGATAAAAAAATCTATTTCTAGTTACGTAAAGAATAGCCTTTGTATGCCTCAGGGACAACCTGTATTAGAGCTTCTTTTATTTATTATGTATATCGCATTTTACGATGTTACGATATATGTTTGCCGATGATAAAATACAATGGATAGTTAAAAATATGAAAAATGTCACTTCTCGTCTATTGTAAAATGTTCTTATTTACTGTATGCTGTAGTACGGATTATGATTGGATTTTATTTATCGTTGGGAATTCTTTAAAATATTTGGCGATGATGCCATTCACATTTGTGTCGCTGTAAAATGTTTCAAAACTTTCGAGGGAATTTCTATCTAAATAAATCTTTTTACAAACCAGGGTTCAAAAGTATTCATTAAATTATCATAGCTCACTCATTTATAGAGGTTAGCGACGGGGTCATCATCATCATTTATTTCTATCAAGGGCACACATTCTTTGACTTATTTATTATTTCATTTAATGGTGTTTCAGTCTTATATTTCTATTTGTATTGTTATTGATTGTTCCGGACTGAAGGTAAAGTGTATAGTATTCTCAGGTTATCTGTCTATATAACATTAAAAAATGAATAAGATGACATTACCTAGACCGAATATTATATCCTAACTTTAAACGAAGGCAACTTATCAAGAAAAACAGCATCTCTTAAGCTATCTACGGGGATTAAAAAATACCTCAATGTCAGGATAATCTATCAACGAACCAAATGATAACGCATTGTCAGTAACGGCAAGTAGGATGATAAAATGCTCTTGCGATTTTTCAAGAAAAACTTCCTCTACCAATGTAGCTTGATCGGAACGGGGGAAGCAACAACATATTATTGTTTTCAAGCTTCTTCACAACATACGCAGGAGATGATACATGGGAATGTACGTATTCTCGACAGTCTTAGCAGCGTCCGAGCATCCATTAGGATTTTCTCAGGGTCACGCTCACATTTGACGTGTTTGGTTAAATTTATTAGCTACTCTATCCATTCCAATCGACAAAATTATTCAAAACTGTTTGAAAACGATTCTAAAACACTCCAAACTTCTCAGGTGAGTGTGACTCTCTTTTTCTACACAGTTCGAAAAAGTAGTGTAAGTTTCTGTTCAGTATGATGCACATATATGGAGCGTCACATATGATGTAAGTTTACATTATATATCATGTAAAGTTCTGAGACATTTCATGCAATGTAGCAAATATTGTATACAAAAGCAAATTACTAAAATAAAAAAAAGAACATTTTTCGTTTATTTTTCCCAGAAAGACATCAATTGTCTGTACAACTTGTACAGATGTCATTTCGATCAGCGTCATACAGTATTAAAACGCCATTTTGAAAAAAATAGGTTCGAGTCAAAATGGAATTCTAGCACAAACTTATTACCCCTAGCGAAAAATCAGGCAAAGTGTCATGGAATTCGGAGAGGATAAATTTTGATCGATTCGTTAGTTGACGTGGATTTGCTCTATATAAGAAAAAAAAAACTTGTCATTTCGCAGTAAATCACGATTAGCATTATAAAGGATTACATTGTTAGAATATCAATTCAGCTTATCGTTTACCAAACCGAATCTTGCTGCAAACCCAACCCTTTTATCCAACATCCCAGTCCAGCCGGCAGTCTGTTTCCAATTTTTTTCGACATAACTACTTTACCTCGCTAATACACTCTACATTTTTCGGTCTCCAATTTTCTTGCATTGGACCGCAGCTAGGTATATCGCATCCTCGGTTCATGCGGTCTCTACTAATATCCTATGATTTGGGTGTAAGTGCGTATGAAAAATTTACTTTTTCCAAAAATCTCATCGGGACTACCTCTAAACAAAATTTCCAAAATTTTCCGTTAAACAAAAGTTCGTTTGTAGCACCCTTACCTATCATTTGGGGGTGAGCCGGCAGGTTTCCTGACAATGTGCAAATTTGGGCCACCCTAACCTCCATTTACGTTCTCAAATTTCGGTTGATCGGCTTCTGATGACATCAAGCATTCAAGATTGAGTTGGGTGGCCACGTGCCACGAATTATATACCGCAGCCGTAGATATCGGTTGAGGAAGACCTGCAGCTTTTGAATGTTCTCCGATGATCTCGCTGGCGTATAACAACGCAGATCTCACGTTTGAATTGAAAATTCGCATTTTGGTGCGTTGACTTATCTGGTACGATCTCCATACATTTCGTAAACTCGCAGAAGCAGCCCTAGCCTTCTTGGTTCGTGCACCCATGTCGCTCTTGGTCCCGCCGTTTGACGCTATTTGGCTGCCAAGATATTGGAAACTTTCGATTTTCTCCACTGCTTGCCCCGCTACCGTAAAGTTGGAAGGGTTGTCCGTGTTGACGTTGATGGTGAGACCCGCCGCAGAGTAGCGTTCGGTTGAGTCGTTGAGCTTACTCTGCATATCATTTTTTTTTTATTAATTAATTTATTTGTACAGGCTCAATCGAATAAACTTTACAGAGCCGAGTTATCATTTGCATTATACATGTTAAATCTAGAGTTAAAGGAATTGAACCGATTACTCGCGGTCGTCTCGAGGTTAGTGGAGATTTACAATTTTTTGGATGGGGAAAGTACTCTGCATATCAGAACGCCATTGTGCTGATAAAGCAACATCATCAGCCAAACCGAAGTCGTTGGGCTGCTCCAAAGTGACAAGCTGCGCCAAAACTAGAAATTCACGCAGGCCTAAAAGTGCATAACTCTAACGATTCATCGTTGCCGTTAGTTTCGTACGAACTGATCTACACTTATCATCTGACAGTGCCATTGGATCTTGAATCACCGCAACCCTGTCATCAACCTGTTCAACCTGTCACAACAACACACCACCCTGAAGACCCTGACAAATATGCCATCCATTCGTCAAAACATTTACGACTCTGTCCTGACACTCGGTGCAACTGAGCTATCTACCTTTTCTCACATCTGTGGGGATTCAACACCAGCAGTGATTTATTTGAACCTAACTAGGCTGCGTCGCTTCGTCGTTGTTATAAACGATCAGCAGCGAGAAAACATATATAAGTACGTACTTCTATATCATTAAATAAACATTAAGTAGACTTGCAGTCAGGGCGAGCTTCGGTGACCCAAGGTAATTGAATTCTCGCGCGACGCCCTCCAGACGCGTGTGGGCAAACGATTAGATGCGTCAACTGCAGCTGGAATTCTCCGAATCGTTTTTCTGTGAAGTTCAGTTTCAGGTTCAGAAATCTACGCGCACGCCTAATCTGGTTCGAAGAGCAAAGGCACGCGCGTTCCCTCGTTTGTAGTAGCATGTGAGATCACGCGATGTATCGTTTCAATTGTAATTAGTAATTATCAAATACCGACCACGAGAGGAGGGCACCTCGAGCGTAAATCATTTCGAACGTGCTACAAATTGACATGTGAAAACAATTAGGTTTGGTTTTTGGACACTGCCCCACCATCGATAGGTAGTTCGCTTCCTCCAGCTACTTATCTTTTCACTTTCGCGATGTTCACACGGGTGAGAAAGTGCCGACGGGGCTTATCTTTGGATCTTTTGGCGCAAAAATTACGATACAGGAATGCGCATTCCGAAAAGATAGCGGTTATCGAAAGTTTTGACAAATAGTCAATGACGTTCCGCATTAGTTCCGGATATTGTTTGAATCTGAAGTACATCGTCCTAGACCGTATCCCAAAATGTGAACCCATTGCACAACTTACGATCATAGATAGCCGCAATAACAACCAAATAAACAAATAAACGCCTAATAAAAGAAAATCCGATAAACTCTATAACGAGCAATGGCACTATAACTAGCTCCAATACAACTCCAATAAACACGCATATTCATATATTATGGGTATCACGCGCGGGCGCAGATTCCTCACGACAATCAGCGCCGATTGTTTTTTTCTTTTCTTTTGCCTCTCCTTCCCGAACGCCAATTTTGCTTTATCTTTCGTTGTTTCCATTATACGATCGCATTTTTGCAATTTAGAAATTCTTCACTTTTTCCGCCGATGATGCGATGATTTACTTGTGTTTGTGAACGGCTTGCTATTTTGGTATTTTCCGACGTGACGATGATATGGTCTGCGTATCTTTTCATCTTCCAATTATTGGTCCGGCGATTTTCTTTTCCATTCGTTGGAGATTTCGACCGAACCGCTCTATAATCATTACGCTTTTTAATAATGCTAACCAGACAACAACAATCATAACTGAAAATCGCTTAAATCTACACAAGGAACTCGGCAGGAATATTTTTTGGTATCAGACTAATTGCATCTCGAAGGGAACTGGACCTGGTTAAAAACTAATGCTGCACTAAACTCGACTTTCATTCGTCTGTCTACGCCCACCCACCTCCATTTACAGCACATTTCTAATTTGGTGTGTCGTCTTTCCTCTTGCAGATACTAATTAAAATATCCTCGACACTCGGGCCGAGGTCGACCGGACTGATTTCCACACAGTAGCTGCTATTCTGCCATGCCGGGTAGCCGTTCCAGTAATAACGATACCGAGCACAATAAGTCCCCTAGAGAGAGCGGCGAGGATTCAGAGGATGAAAGTGAAATTCTAGAGGAAAGCCCGTGCGGAAGATGGCTCAAACGGAAAGAAGAGGTAGGTTGCGCATCTAGTTGGAATCTTGCGATCGTTTACTTTGAAAAGGCTAGCATAGAAGTAGATTATTTATGTGTGTTTCATGATGACCTACGTGTATTAAAGTCCGTGTTAGGGAACGAATAACGATTGATGACAGGACTCACAGTTCGAAAAAAATAGTGCGAATTTCTGTTCGGGGCCAATGTTTTGCTTAAACTTTCACTACACTTACACTACATACGGATTAGAGGTGGTGATTATTATCAAAAATTACTAAAAAAAAAGCAAAATATTGGCAACAATTTTTGTTAGGATATCCTAGAACAAGGGTGGCCACTGAATCGGAAGAACCGGGAATTAACCGGAACTTTGATTGGATCCTTAAATTTTATATTATCTAAAAATATTAGCAATGTCCCAGATTCTGGCATTTTGCATACTTTTGTTAATTTAGAACCTTAAAATCTTTTATTGTCACAGAATCTAGAAAATTTCTCCATTTCTGGGATATTTAATACACGTCCATAGAGGGTGTTTGATCTTACGTACTGTTACACTTTTTTGCCGCATAATCTTGAACAGGTCTCTAAAGGCCCACGCACATTAGATCCGGATCGGACGCGTTGCGGCAAAGTGACAGCTAAATCTATTGTCTAACTGTCAAATTTACGTCAACGCAAAGTAAACGGATCTAATGTGCGTGGCCCTTAATACCAGGATATAAATGTGTTCTCAATCGAAGACTCAGAATCTTGAGAATTTTTGTTAAACCTGGATCTTGAATAACTGTGCACGGAATATTGAAAATTTTCTATAAAATGCGCTTGGAAGATTTCTCGGAAATCTTTTGGTATGCCATTTAAAATTAATAAAATTAGTTTTCTAAAATTTCCTTGAAATTCACCTCAGAATTTCCTTAAAATTCTTCTCAAAATGAATTGCTGGTCGATTTGATGGCTATATGGCGAACATTTTCTACAATCAATCTTGGTCGTTCATACATTTCTTATTAACTACCATACAGGTATCCCTATTGCAGGGCTGGTAGCGCGTCACTTTTTATTGACTTGGTCACTTTTTTCAAGCCAATCACTAAAAAGTCTCCTTTGTTAAGGCCAAGTCACTAAAATAACTTTTTCTTGTAATAAGACGCTACCTAAAGCTATTTTTCCATTGCGTAAAAAATCTGTAAACAAAACAACAACACCAGAAATTGACGCAAACGTTTTTAAGACATAACAATCAGTTTTAAAGAAACAGCTTTACTGCCCATAACTGAAGATATGGCTAATATTCCAAAAACAAAATTCTGTGTAAAAAGGGGTTTAAAAGTTTTAAGCGATAATTGATTGAATCACGAAAATATCGTACACAGCTAAAAAAAGTAGTGTAAATTTCCGTTACTATGATGCACATAAATGGAGCGTCATATATCATACAAATTTAGATTATAGATCGTGTAAATTTATGAAACATGTCATGCAATATCCCATATATTGTATGCAACTGTCCACTTTTGTTTGCAACATTTCTTGCAAGTTGCTAATTTACGTGAAAAGGAAGTTTACATGTATGAATGTTTGCATGCATGGATGTTTACATCGCCAGTAAAATTCAGTATTTTTTGGTGTGTATGTAAAGCTATAATAATCGATAGACGTCCTCTGGAAGCCATGCCGTTATGATCAAAATTTTGAAAAATTTGCTCCCCAAAAGTGGATATTACACATTTCTTTATTTATATAGCATATTAGCCATATCGATTTTTAAATCCGCATTCCTCAATATTCAGTTTTTCAGCCATCTTTTCCAAATGGTCATGCATACAGATCACACCTACCACATGATGCACTGTTTTAAGCGATTTGACATGGGTGGCGTAGTAGCCGTTCACTTTGTCTTGCGACGGCCTAAAAATTGAAGAAGAGAAGTTGAGGAGTATCAAGAGTTTCTGCAAACCGAAGTGAAGAGTTTTTTTTTTGATGAATTTACTTCGTGGCACGCCGATAAAACTGAGCGACTAAGAGAGTTATCAAAATCGGATTCTTTCTATTGGACGGGTGAAGAGGAGGAGGAGGAGTTCCATTTCCTTAAGGACGAAGCTCTGAGTGAAGTTATGAAAACGAAAGAATAATGAAATTGCGGGAACATAATGACAGTTATCATTCTGAAAATATGGGGAATTTACTGGAATCTTTAAGAACCTCACAGCAGATCTATTAGCTTAAGAAAAACTACAGGAACTTTTATGAAGTTCCAAGAATTTAAGAGAGTTTCCCCGGTTTCAAGAGAACTTCAGAAAAAAAGAGAACTTGAGGAAAATTGCAGAAATTTTGAAGAAGTTCTAATTACCTCATAAAAGCTAGATCTAGAGATCTTAAGGGCAGTTCCCGTAACTTTAGTTCAGACTTTTGGAGCAGTTTAATATCTAAAAAAATCGAGAACCCTTAAGATGTTCCGAGAATTTCAGGGGTACAGAGACCTTCAGATAATTTATGAAAGGGGTGACCCCGGCGTAGTGGTTAACATGGATACCTCTCACGCCAAAGTCACGAGTTCAAATCTCACCCCGGACAAGTCACGAATGACCCAAGACTGTTAAAGTGACTATAAAAAAAATGAAATCTTCAGAAATATTTCAGGAACTTAAAAAAAGTCGAGAGCATTTCAGGGAATTTTAAAGGTGCTTACGAGAATTCCATTTATTTCCGAGCAGAACCGAAATCTTATGGAAAATTGTGGAAACTTCAAGGCAATTCAATTAGGGTAGAGCACTTCAGAAAAGATCAATAATATCAATGATTTCACCGTGCACAAATCAATGATTGGTTTGTTCCGATGCGTTATTTCTTTAGCTATAAATCCTATTAGAGCGCATTGTATGAATATTAACGCTCATTGTTCTAAAAACAAAAGAAGCGCTCCTAGCGAATTCCCTTTTTCTACGTTTATTCGTAGGACGAAGAAAATCGAATGGCGTTTCAATGCGTTTGGTTCCACGAAAATTGCGGTAGAAGTTCCAGCAATTTCAGAAAAACATCGAAAGCTTCACAGAAGTGCTGAGATCTTCAGAAATATTTCGAGAACTTCATAGAAGTTTATGGAACTTAAGGTTCAATTTACTTTGATGCATTTTCGAAAAATTCAAAAGCAGTTTTTTTCGACGCATTATTTCAAATTGCTAAAAGCTTGCGTCATTTTGTGTAGAATAGCAAAAGGAATCGAATAGTGCGAGCATTTTGCAATCTGAACTAATGCGTCGAAAAAAACTGCTCTTCAATTTTTCGAAAAGCATCAAAGTAAATTGAACCTTAAAGGAAGATCCTAGAACTTCAGGAACTTTCATGAATATTAGCAAAATCCATAAGCATTTCAAAGAAGTTTAGTAAGCTCCAAAAATAGGAGAAATTTTAAGGGGGGTTAGGGTGATACTCTAAGGAAGCCTTGGCGTGAAACTTCAAAGGCACAAATGCCAGCTTGTTGCACATTTGAAATTGCTACTTTCTGTTTGTAGTAGCACAGCAAACAAGGAGTAGCAATTTCAAATTTGTATGGTTTATGGAAGCTGACATTTGTGCCTTTAAAGTTTCACGCTAAGGCTTCCTTAGAGTATCACCTTAAGTTCCATTAGTTTCAGCAAATTAGTTGGAACTTTCAAGAAATTCCCAGATTTTTAGAGAATTTCAGAGACGTTAAATAAATGTTAATTATTGAGGTCTTCACATAAGTTCAGCAATTCACGGAAGCTTAAAGATTTTTAGGACAGTTCAATTAAACTCAGTGCAACACGACTTTGAAGAAGACAGTTGTTGTTATTTACATCGTCGTGATTGTGCGCTGCTAAATTTGTCGATTTTTTATCACATGGGCTATCGTTATTCGTTTTTTTCCGTTCGGTATACCTGCAATATTGTACTGGTTGTTAGTGGAAAGTGCAGTTCGTTGCGATAATCGTCTAATTAGAGCATATTTTGTGTTGTGAAAACAGTGAAAAAGTTATCCAATCAGACATATTGTAGTGTATACTGTCTAGCATTGGGCGATCTTGAGAATCCAATTCCTCTTTGCGTATTAGAGCATCTCCACCACTGTTTCTAAATCACTTTTGGAAACTGAGTCAGCATGACTTCCGCCTGTGACCAATGCGCTAAACCAGTTAAAGGCGATGAAGAATCCGTCTCCTGCATGGCTTTTTTGCGACAGGATGATTCACCTAAAGTGCGGGTGCAGTTTCGAACGCCTTTCGATACGGTTGTGTTTTAAGTTTGGCGCTCTGCCTCCCGGACGTTTATACGTGTGGGATTGGTAGTTTTCTCGCTTTCCGGGAAGTTTTAGAATAGAGAAAGAAAACGTGATTCAACATGTTTGCAAGCATCAAAAGAGATGTCGCGATCTGCGTTGTTTGATTTTCTCCCGGACCAGAAATTAGTGGCATCGCGAGTGATAATTTTTAATTTCAGTTTATTTACGCGCTGCAAGGTGCGTGAAAGAGCTCGGCACAATTGGTGTTGATGTTGGCTCACTTCTAACTTTTTTTTCTGGTTTTGGAAAGAAATTGATCGAAATTGTACCAAAAGTGCTTCTGAACGTGTTTCGCAGTTGGGTGTGGTGAAAATCGTGAATTCGCGGTTTATGTTCAGTGAAAATTCCGTGTCACAAAATTGCTCACCGAGTTTCCTTTTTTTGCCGTTCGACGACGACGGGTTTGCGAGAGAAAAATAAGCATCGGGAATTTGCTCCCGGATGTATTGATTTGGTGAGTACGTTCCAGTTGAAGATTGTTCTTATACATATCTCGATTACATTTTCGAGCGGACGTTCGGAGAGCTTTAAGATTTAGGCGTTGTTGCATTTGCGGGCAGATGAGTTGGTCGCAGGCAGGGCGTCACAATGTCAGCTTCAATCGACCAAATCGATGCGACGAAGAGACTGCTGGCTTTCTTTTTCTGTTAAAGTCGAACAGCTTCGCAGCATTCTAGAACCTCAGTCGGCGTGCACAAACAAATGTTCAATCGCTTGTCTCTCTTTCTCCCGTCGCTCCATTGGTCTTCCTTTCAAGCTTCGTCGAAACGGATGAGCGAAAGGGCGCTCGACTTTGATAGTTTTCTCTTTCATGAAACACATCA